AGACAAATTCTACCTGTATGCCGGGTGGCAGTAGACAGAACATTGTAAATGCTTCTTTGAGTTCTTCATATTTATGGGAACATTGCAAAGTCCATAGATTAACAAAAACATGAGGCTAACTGTTGGAAGGGATCAATCAGATATAGGAAAAATAAGAGATTTTGCAACTTGGTTGTTGGATATAGGAGAAGGAAAAACTTGGTGGTCCGAACGACGGTGAAACGATTATCGATATTCCGGATGATATTCTCATTAATGATTCACATGATCCTATAGGTTCCTTAATTGAGTTTGTATATCCTTCAATTTTAGAGTACTATAGCGATATAAATTATTTCCAAGAAAGAGCGATACTTGCTCCAAAAAATGAAGTTGTCCAGGAAATAACGACCGTTTACTTAAGAAGTTTCCAGGAGATCAAGTTGAATATTTAAGTTCAGACTGCATATGTGAATCCGAATTTCTCCATGATCAATTTGATGCAAATCTATACTCTCCTGATGTATTAAATGGACTCAAAGTATCCGGTTTACCAAATCATAAATTAGTTTTAAAAATTGGTGTTCCAGTAATGTTACTGAGAAATATTGATCAGAAAAACGGCTTATGTAATGGCACAAGACTACAGGTGTTATCATTGGGCAAACGTGTTATTGAGGCACGTATAATAACTGGAACTAATATTGGAAATCGGACTTTTATTCCAAGAATGTCTTTAACTCCATCAGAAAAAAAGATTCCTTCAAATTCACAAGAAGACAGTTTCCTTTGGCTGTATGTTTTGCAATGACTATTAACAAAAGTCAAGGACAATCGTTGTCAAAGGTTGGTCTGTTTCTGAAAGATCCAGTTTTTCACATGGACAATTGTATGTTGCCTTATCTAGAGTTCAGAGTAGAGAGGGATTAAAATTATTAATTTTAGATAAAGATGGCAAACTCACAAATAAAACTTCCAATGTTGTTTATAAGGAAGTTTTTCGAAATTTGTAGCCAACTTTTTTGTAACGTCATTTTATTCAATTTTAGGAAATCACACTTAATCCATCATATTACTGTATTTTTTTATAATTACGTATTGTTGTATTTTATGTTAATTTCATTACACACATTGGTATTGTATCATCTGCATATGTCCAATTAGAATGATGAATAAAAAAAAATAGTTTTCAAAAATCTTCATTCCTAATTAAATACTTCCCATTTAGTTAGTAATTAAATAATTACCAATAAAAAAAATTATTTAAATATTCAATATTACAATTTATAAGTTATCAGAATTATTGATATAATATTTTATTAAATAATTAATTTTTAAATTCAATTCAAAAACAGCACCCGTGGGTTCCACGAGTTTTAACCTAGTGAAACATTAAATATAATCGGCCAACGACTAGTATTAATATTATAATAATGAATAAATTAACCATAGATTTATATTTTGAAGTCGGAAATTAATGGACGTCCAATTTTGAATTTGATGATTCCATACACTTAATTTTCAAAACTAAATTCTAGTTTGAAAATGAAAGGTTGAATTATTTTTTAATTACATACCATGCAAATCAATTTGTTAATATGGATTTATGGTTAAAAAAAAACTATTATGGATCACCTTACATGCAAATTAGTTTATATGACAATCATTTTCTCAAATATGGTAGCATAATTAGTTTATATGGCATTCATTTACGATATCAGTTTTTAATTAATTTTTTAAATCAGTTTTTAATTAATTTTTTTAATCAGTTTTTTATTAACTTTGTTTGTTTTATTTCAATTTTGCAGGAAAAAATGACTAATATTTCGTATTTTGCTACCGATGAAGTATAATTTCTAATCTTATATTTATATGTGTATATTTATTTGATATATTTATCGATCTTTTAACATTCAATTTTTCTCTTAATTTTTAGGTTTTTAGATCTCTTGAAGATTTGAAGAATTCGGTACAAAATATTGCACGTTCTCAAGGTTATGTTACAGTCACTAAACGATCGAAGGTAGCAACTTTTGAATTCAAATCTAAAGTATTTCTTTGTTGTGACCGTAATGGTATAAGCAGAAGTAAAAATGCGGAAACAAAAAAAAATTAATTGTCCATTCGAATTGATAGCAAAGTATTTGAAGACACAAGATGGTTGGAAGTTAAAGGTCGTACGTGATGATCACAATCACAAACCATCAATATATATGGAGGGTCATTCATTTGCAATGCGATTGTCGGATAAAAAGATCTGTTTGGGCCATGGTTTGACCACAATGGGCCCTGTAATCTTTTTTCCTTTATGGAGAAGTCCTGGTGAGTTTCAAAATCATCGTGTTCTTACATTTGCATTTGTATACACCAATCACTATGTGATGATACAGTTAGAAGGAGAGTACCCGATGTCTCCTATTTCAGCATTATGGATCCGCTACAAAGACCCGTCTGCAGCCGAATGGCAAAGTATGTATAAGTCATGTCTAGAATTTTATAAGCGACTCAAACCTATAGAAAGATCTTTTATGACTATAGATGATTAGTTGTTGTTTATTTTTGTCTCGGATTTTTGTTATATAATATTTAAAATTTAAAAAAAAAATGATGAAGATTTGTTCGGATTTTATTTCTTATAATATTATTTAGAGTAAATTACACGAATGGTACTTATGGTTTGGGGTAATTCGCACGTTTGGTCCCTAACTTATTTTTTTAACTCGGAAGGTCCCTACGGTTTGTTTTTGTTACGTGTTTGGTCCCTACAGTTTGTTTTTGTTACGCACTTGGTCCCTGTCTTACCTAAAACGACTATTATTTAAATAAGAAAAAACGGTGAGGTAGGTAAGGTAAGGTGAGTAGGGTGGGGTTGGGGGTGTGTTTACTTAAATAAATTAAAATATCAAGGGAAAAATAGTATCTTTAGGTAAGACAGGGACCAAACGCGTAACAAAAAAAAACAGTAGGGATCTTCCGAGTTAAAAAAATAAGTTAGGGACCGAATACGCAAATTACCCTAAACCATAGGGACCATCCGTGTAATTTACTCTATTATTTATAACATGATATTAGGTTGATGAAAATTTATTTATAATTTTTTTTATAATATTATTTATGTTATTATATTATAAAAACTATATTATTGTTGTTTTTTATCTTAATAAAAAATAAATATTAAATTATTAATATTAATTAAGTTAGTAAAAAAATGTAATTATTAAATAATAATGATTTTTTGATTAGGTAATAATTATATTGTGATGACGATTTAAAAAGTAAAGTCAATAATAATTATATGATAATAATTTACCATTATTTACCTAAAAAATAAGCTTAATATATAGATTGATGTTGTAGATTGATGTGTTTAAAAGAAGACCATTAAAAGAGTTTTGTAATTACATTGTCTTTTGAATTCTTTCTTGTTTTTTAATAGATAATTGACAACCGTAAATAAAGTATATGTTTTTGTTTACCATTTACTTGCTAGTATGACATGTACACATACATAGTCTTAAGTTCATAGGCTGTGACGCATATAAGCTAGTTTTTTTTTAAAATGTTTTATGACATAGCTTCATAAAACTTTTTTCAAAAGTTTTTCAAATATACTCCTAGTGTGCCAATTTTTAAATATACCTTTATACATGTCTTTTTATATCATTCTACATTAATTATTTAGTTTTTATGGATCGCTATAATTTTATCGTGCTAACTTTTCAGCTAGACAGTGAAACATTATCAAACCCTTTCAAACACAATTGAAACAAACATCCTTTCATGATAGAACATCAACTAAGACCATATATTTATCTACACATACCACGCGTTTGCAAGTAAATGGAAAACAAAAGCATAATATACTTTATCCACATTCATCAATTCTCTATCAAAAAAATAAATAAACAAATAAAAACCCTATCAAGAAAATCAAACATGAATCCCCTTAACAAAAAAAGTTTCACTTAGAAGAAGAAATTGTTCTCGAGTCTTGTTCATGTTCAGCTTGAGAGGCTAAGTACTCAAGTGCAACCACAATATCACCAATAAAGGGCCTGAAATTGGCCTGCTCTTGTAGACACATCGCAGTCACTGCAACCACATTGTGCACCGATCGAACCGAAAACCGACCTTCTAGAAGCGGGTCCACCAACTGAATAAACTTTTTTCGGTCTTTCAAAAAAGGGAGAGACTACATAAATTTGAAAAAATAAAAATTATATATCAAGGACAACGTGTAAAAAAAAGCACACGATTTTTTTATATGAAAATGGGTCAATTTGCGTAATAAAACGTAACCTTTTTTTTTTTTTTTTTCAAATCACAATGTTGTAATAAAATGTAAAATATTATTTTCACTTACCCAAGCAACTAAATTCTGTTCGCTAGGTTTCTTGTTCATATCAATTGCTTTACGTCCAGTAATGAGCTCCAACAAAACCACACCAAAACTATAAATATCAGACTTTATAGTCAACTTTCCACTCATCGCATAATCAGGAGCACAATAACCATATGTGCCCATAACTCGAGTTGACACGTGAGTGTTATCACCAACTGGGCCCAGTTTAGCAAGCCCAAAATCAGAAAGCTTTGAGTTGAAATCATTATCCAATAATATATTTGATGATTTTAAATCCCGATAAATTACAGGTGGATTTGCTTTGCAATGGAGATACTCAAGCCCACGAGCTGCTCCAACTGCAATCTTCAGTCTCGTATGCCAATCCAACGGTTCTTGATTAGGTTCTAGATCTGAAAAAATAAAAAACAAAATTATATATTTTATTTAAAAGTATTGTTATGTCATGTGTAGGAAATGGGCCTTAAGGCCCATGTAATGTGCATGGTAATTATAATTTTAATTCTCATGCATTATAGACTTATGTCTTATAGTGCTCCTTATTTATTTCTTGTACTTTTGTTTTAACATTTATGTATCATGTGAAGTCAATTAATGCGACATTTTTAACTATGCAATGAATTGAAAGTTTCCAGAATCTTAAAGAGCTTTTTCCGTGAAAGACAGATGAAGGGTTTGAATTTACTTTTTTTAAGCATTTATGAAGATAACAAACAAAATGTATATTGCATGTGCTTATAATCTTACAATGCAAGAAATAGCAACGGACTTTAATTGATTTGTTTAATGTTTAAATGTTTATTATATCATTTTACTTCTATTTCTTCCTATTATATCACTATGCTTCTAAAATCTACCCGATTATTACAATGTAATACAAATAGAAAGCAAATTTCATTGCTAATAATTTGGTAGATTTTCGAAATTATATTGTCTTGCATATAGCCCTAATTCAATTACCACTTGATTACTCTGTTATAGTCTATGATAATTGAAAGAAACCCTAGGGAGATTAAAACTCAAAGAATATTGGTACTATTACTCCATTAGTAGGATTTCTTGAAGCAAACACCAAAAGTAGAGAACCAGATGCATTTAGTGATTAAAAAAAAAATTAATTTTTACCAAAAAGATGATTTTCCAAGCTACCCAGTGGCATGTACTCATAAACCAAGAGTCTTTGATCTCCATCTGTGCAATAACCAATCAAAGTTACAAGATTTGAATGTCGCAAAAGACTCAACATAAGAACTTCCACAATGAACTCTTGGTGTCCTTGAAGGCCATTGAGGTTTAGCTGCTTTACAGCAACTATCTGTTCATCAAGTTTCAACCATTATTATCACAATCCAAGATACAAATTTATGATCTGAAGAAAACAAGAACAGAAACTTACTTTCCCTGATTCTAATCGACCCTTGTAAACACATCCGAATCCACCTTCTCCGATCAAATTAGAATCCTTGAAATTCTGTGTTGCGACACAAAGTTCACGAAATGTAAAACGGCTTGCCACATTATACCTCTGGCTACTAAAACTTTTCCCCTTCTCTGTAACATCTGTACATGTTTTTCCCTTGTCATCAACTGTAAATGCCAAAAAAAAAACATGAAGAAAGCAAGCGAAAGCACAATGCATGAAGTTTAATCGGAAAATTCAGAATCGATACAACAAATCCAATGTATAAAAGCAATCAAACCTGCAAAATCATTGGATGCGACATCGCCATCGTAATTTTCGACATCTTTGGAGCAAAAATTTATGCAAGAGAAGCACCTCATCTGGATTAATCGATACAGAGAGTCTTGAAAAGAGATTCAGGAATACATATAACAAATCAAAAAAACAGTGAAACTACACAGTGTCAAACGAAAACCCTAATCGAGCATACAAGAGTTAAAACCCAAGGTCAATTTCAGAGGAAACGGACAAGGGTTTCTCCTGAAATACGAAAATTCCAAAAATCCTTTTAGAACAAGACACCAAAGATATCAACGCGGCATTGCCAAAAAAATCAACAAACCTTCAAATTTGTAATCACAAAACTTCAAAGTTTAAGCATTAAACAAAAAGAGAGCAGAAGAAAACAAAAACTTGAATAAATTATTGGGGTAAAGTAGTTGGGATTGTTTGGAATTATGCAGCGAAATTGGAACACAGACATTGAATCCTGTGAATCGAGCTCAGATTATATAAATAGAATTTAATATCTACAAAGATGACGTGTCGTATCCGTCCAAATAACGTGTTGTAATAAATTCATGCTCGTATATTCATTCTATATTTAAAATAGAATAGAATGAGTTTGGAATATATACGATAAATAATAGAATAGAATGATTTTTAGAGAAAATAAGTTTTAGTGCTTATTTTTAGAGAATTCACGATTAAAAAAACTTTTTTCAGTTAATTTGCTAACGTCATATAATATCAAGTTAACAAATAAAAAAATTTGAAGTTATCTTTACTATAACAAAAAATAAAATTTATAAATTTCATTTATGGATCATACAAACTTTACTTTTAGGTACTTACTAAGATAAAGGAACAAAGTAAGTTGATGATTTCAATTTAAAATAGTCGGATTGTATTTCAATTTAAAATACTTGGATTGTATTCCATGGACCACTTAATATGCTTGCATTATTTTTTTAGGTCAAAGGACAAATTATGGAGAATAATACCCTAGTTTGTTATTATTCATAAAACATATGTTTAAACAAAAATAACAACTTATGATCTAAACTTGTAACTGTTACTATGATAATATAAATCTAAATGTTATCTATAATTTAAAAATATAGATATATTTTGCATAAAAAATATAAATATATTAATTGTTTGCATGAGTCACAATACATAAATATATTATTAATATATAAAAGTAATTTTAAACAAGAACATAATCGTACACACAATAGAGGGTTTAATCATATATGAATGATTTAATCACATTTGATTAATACATATAATAAAAAAAATTAAAAAGTTATAATTATATCGATATTAATTTTAATTAATAAAGCATTAAAATTAAAAAATTTAGTATATTAATGATTTTGATAAAAATAACATTCCAAAATGGATGGTCAATATACATTCTCTAAGTACTCAATTACATAATGGTTTTTGGTTGAACCTATTTTTATATTTATCTCGACATAATCTGAAAACTTGTATTCTTAAACACTCAAAACTTTTTTTTCACTATATTTTTTTGAAAAGAAAAATAGTTTATAACAACTATAACATGAATATATAAACATTTCGTTCAAAAGAAATTCAAAAATGTTTATATATGAAATTTGTATATATGTATAGATAAAATTGCAAGAATGATCTCTATGGTATGTAAATACTCGTATGTTTAGGCAAAAAAAAGTTTGGATTCCACCAGTGGTTCAAAAACTTCATTTTCTTGTGAGTTTGGTCCAGTTTAGTTTAAACTTTTTTGTGACAACGATTTTGTCCTTAATATTTAATTTTTCATTTTTATTTTATTACCAGCAATTAAAAACAATTAAAAATAAAACAAAAATAATATATATATATATATATATATATATATATATATATATATCCCCCCTCCGAGCATCTAAATCACCACCATCGACTACTTTCTTTCCAGAAACACCACTTACAGCTACCATCACCGCCTCATGTCACCACCATCACCAAAAATTATTTATGTTTGTTGTTTCAGCTTCTTGTAAAAGAAAAGTTTATCAACTATAAATCATCAAATTTTAAGCATTCATAACCAAAATCATATTAGAAAGCACCCATCTAACTTTGAATGTTCAATGATTTTAAAGCACACAAAGCATTCAAAATCAAATTACGAAAGCACCAATCTATCCAAGAACATTCGTCAATTTTAAAGTACATAAAAACATTCACAAATCAGTTTTCAAAACTATATACAAAAATCAGATGTATAGATGTATACTTCCAAAATCAAGAGCAAAATAATCATTGTCATATCTGAAGCTTCATCAAGAGCTGAAGAACACACACACACACATTTGTTTAAGCAGGCCCTAACGCACATGATGCATCACTACAAAGAAACCCTAGCCGCTATAAACATCCTAGATTTGTGTTTTCAGATTTTCCAAGTCTAATGGGTTTTCCCTACACATAATACAAATATATCGAAGCATTTTGAATCCATGAATGTGTCTCAACCTACCGATGGTTCCCTTCTCAAATCTAAACTCTACTCAGTAAGCCAACGAACTTAGTTTCACCAAAAAGGTGGAGAAGATGATGAACAGTAGTCGTGGAGAGCTCGTCAAAACCATATTTCTTCACCTTTCATTGGAAACGCCCCATGTTTTAACCTGTTTCTTTACATTTATACTCAATATCGAGCACAAATTTCTATTTTGACCTGGATTTCTTCACCTTCATATGGAAAATGAAACCTAACTTTCTCAACTCCGTCTAGAAAATCATACATCTCCTCTCTACCATACAAATCTCGTTGGACATAATCAAGCTCGGAAAAATCATTCATAAAAAGATCTCAAAGTTTGCTGAGGCGGTTCTCAATAAAGATTTTAAATGGAGTGTCTTTGGGTTTGATTTGCATCATTTGAACTTGGTTTGATTTGCTTTAAATAATTGGGTTTCATTTGCATCATTTGGGTTTGATTTGAAGTACTTTGGATTTAAGCATCTTATAATACAAACATTTGTGGTAACATACATACGTTTTATCATATTGATTCATCTTGTGTGTGTGTGTGTGTCAGAGACGAAGACAAAGACAGAGAGAGGGATATATATATATATATATATATATATATATATATATATATATATATATATATATATATATATATAGAGAGAGAGAGAGAGAGAGAGAGAGAAAGAGAGGGGTATTTAATTCTTGTTCTATTTTTATTTATTTTTAATTGTTAGGAATAAAATAAAAACGGAAATTAAATAATAATGACAAAATCGTCCTTACAATAAAGTCTAAACCAAAGTGAATTAAACTCGTAATAAATTGAAACTTTTGAACCAAAATGGACCAAACTTATTCTTACAGTAAATTTCAAACCAAAGCGGACCAAACTCTCAATAAATAATAATAATAATAATAATAATAATAATAATAATAAAACTTTTGAACCACTAGTTCTAGTTCTAACTTTTTTTGCTTCAAACATACGAGTTTTATCATACCACACGAATCATTCTTGTAATTTTGTCAAATGAATATTTGCGTTGTACAAATATGCATTATGTTTTATGCATATATATGCATATTTTATATATACATTTTTTAGAAAAAAGAATTCATAGTTGGTACATGTGGTTTGGAAAGTATTTCACTTTGAGGACTTTTATGAAAAATGTTACGCTTAATCCCTATGGTTTCAAAATTTTCATGAATTGTCCTTTTGGTGTTCACTTTAACTTTTGAATAGTTAACTTTTTTTTTATAAATGACCAAAATGCATTTGGATCAAATATGAAATTTATATATACTTCAAGGATCAATTCTAAAAATTTGAAATTTTTATATATGTTAGTCACAAATATAAATTTGATATATATATATATATATATATATATATATATATATATATATATATATATATATATACCTTTTGCTTTCTATTCTTTTTATAATTTTAGTTATTTATGAATTTTCTAATGTTGTTGTTTATTTTGATTCAAGTAAATGAACTTAAATTCAATAAACCATATCGAAACCATTTTTTTCTTTAATTTATTTGTTAATATAACTTTTTTTACTTTTATGTTGTTAAGATTCATATCTTTAACTTGGACGATCAACCAATTAACCAATTAACCGAGTTGTTATATTTATTTATTTAAAATAATAATTAATTTAAATTTTATATGAAATTATGTATTTTAAAATTTTCCATAGTAATATACTCTAATATATTCACATATTTTATACATTTTGTTTTTTATTGTAATTTATAGTTTTTTCGTATTATATATATATATATATATATATATATATATATATATATATATATATATATATATATTGTCTTTTATATTTTTTTTGTTTTTTTTTTTTCATCAATTTGATGACTTTTTTTATGTTTTCTAAAAAAGAGTAAAAATCTATGAATATATTAGAGTATATTACAATTCTAGTGCTCAAGTTTTTTTTTTTGTTGGTTTTCTTTTTTTTATAATTTTGGTAATTGTTGATTTTTCTAATTTTTTATTTTGATTCAAGTAAATAAAAATGTTATATTTATATTTGTAATTTTTGTCCAACTTTTTTTTGTTATAGATTTTTGTTATTTAGCGGCTATTATATTTATGTTATGACCAATTAAAATTTAAAAAAAAAAATCGAACATTTTGTTTTTTGAGAGTTAATGTTTCAATATGTAATATTTGCGATCTATAATTATTAAAACAAGAACAAAAGCCAAACATTTTTAAATGTAATTTGCAAATCAAATCCTATTTATATATAATATCAGTACTTCAAAATTCAAGACAATATTTTATAGTTTGATAATAAACTAAAATAAATAATAAAGAAATAATAAGAAGACTCTATGATTAGTTTAATTATATTTTTCAATAGTTCAAATTTAGATCTGGACCAAATTGAACCGGAAACCAAAGAACCGAGAACCAATTTAGTAGAATGAAAAAAAAATTAAATAACGATAATGATAGTTGCACACTTATAATTGCTAACTATAATAACCATGGGATTTTACGTAATATTTAAAACTAAAAAAATGATAAAGATTTGTTTGAATTTTATTTTTCTTATAATAATATTTATAACATCAATGATATTAAGTTGATGAAAATTTATTTGAATTTTTTTATAATATTAATTATGTTATTATATTATAAAAACTATATTATTTTTGTTTTCTTATCTAAATAAACAATAAATATAAAACTATTAATATTAATATAGTTAATAATAAAAATATAATTATTAAATAGTAATAATCTATTGATTAGGTAATAATGAACTAATAATAAAAGTTGTTTAAACAATAATTATATTGTGGTTATGATTTTAAATGTAAGGTCAAATTACCATCATTCATCTAAAAAGTAAAAGTAAACCTAATGTAGATTTGTGTTGTAAATTGGTGTGTACAAAGTACGATTATATATATATATATATATATATATATATATATATATATATATATATATATATATATATATATATATATATATATGTTCAGGTTCATTTGAGACCATTCTAATTTTGTGAGACCGTGAGACCAAATCTAAAAATAATTTTAAAATGCAAAATAAATGGAAAAATCCAAAAATTCTTTTTTTAAATATTATTTTCGGAACTTGAATTAATTAAAAAAAATAAAAAATATATAAAAATAAAATAAAATAAATTCCGTTTTTTTTTTTTTGAAAAATACGTGAAATATTCTAAATAGAATATTACACTGACATATTTTAAAAAATAATTTTAAAATGCAATATAAATGGAAAAATCTAAAAATTCTTTTTTTAAATATTATTTTCGGAACTTGAATTAACTAAAAAAAATTAAAAAAAATTCTTTTTTTTTTGAAAAATACGTGAAATATTCTAAATAGAATATTACGCTGTACATATTCTAAAAATAATTTTAAAATGCAAAGTAAATGGAAAAATTAAAAAAATCTTTTTTTAAATATTATTTTTGGAACATAAATTAACTAAAAAAAATTAAAAAAAATGCGTCTCACGGTCTCACAAAATATAGGTGGTCTCAAATGAACTTATATATATATATATATATATATATATATATATATATATATATATATATATATATATATATATATATATATATATATAGGGGAGGGTTCATGCGAAAATGCAAATAATTTGCGAAAACAAGAAAACCATATGATATTATATCACCTCAACATTATATTTTGGAAAATAATTCATCCAAACTTTGAAATACATGATGATAATCGATGATAGATGATAGACTATTTCATATTAGCAAAGTATGATTTTTAACATTTTTATTATGAAAACATGAATTTAAAAATGATTAAGGACGTGAAAAAAATATAATTATAAAAACCGTCTTTAAATCTATATTATCATAACACCATCTAATGTAAACTTACTATCTTTAATTTATTGCTAATAAAATTATTTTTTTATAGTACATGTATCTAATTTTCATAAGATAAAAGCTGTTTTCGCGTTTTCGCAGGATATTTATATTTTCGCATGAACTTACTTCTATATATATATATATATATATATATATATATATATATATATATATATATATATATATATATATATATATATATATGAGTGTGTGTGTGTGTATTTATGTATGCATGTATGTATGTTACCGGATTGTAGCCTAATATTTAGTGCGACTAACTCAATTTTTACGAGCGATATTCTTTAATAAGTGTTAAAAAATAATTTTCAACTATTATGTACAGACAGAGGCCAGACATGAAACACCGGAGGGCGGAACCATTTTGGCATTTAAGTTGTTCTGAAATCCAACAACCCTATGTGGCCCTTCAAATCAGATTTTCCGTAACGCGAGAAGGTAAAAGATATTATAATAATACTTTATATCTTATAATACTTAGAACATATATTGTTTATAGGTTTATAATAACAATGATGAACTTAAACTTAAGCTATACTTATAGTAGGGTAAGCATAATTCACTTACAAGGGGGTTTAGCGAAGAACCGAGCTCTGCATGTGCAGAACTTCTGAGTCGAAAGATTTTCTTCTCGGAGCCTTCTGGCACTCTATGACTTGCCTCTCACACTTGGGAAGAGCTGGGAATAGGAAGGGTTAAGAGAAGTAGTTGAGAGAGAAAGAATGGGAAAGGTGTGAGAAATATGGGAGAGCCTCACATCTATTTATAGGGTGGAGGCTTCGGATTACGTTGGGCGTAGCCTTGAAGTACGTTGCAAGTATGAGGCCTTACGATGCACGTATGAGGTTCGGGTGTCACCATCGCATGCGAAATCGTGGGGAGAAAGCAAGGGCTTGGATTACGCCATGTGCCAGCCTCGCATTCTTCTATAATTTAATAAACTTCTAAATTTCGTAACTTTCGCATACGAACTCCGTTTCGACGTTCTTTAAATCCACATGTAGGTAGCGACAGGATCTACAACTTTAGTTTAGACTCCGTCGGCTGTGACATCCCCATTTTCACGGTCAGAAAAGACCGATTTTGTTTATGCTTTATAGAAATCAGAGTTCTTCTTTTAATAAAAATGTTGCGAAATTCGTTCCCAGAAAAACACGATAAATATGTTATTAAAACATTTTCGAAGAAACGTATTTTATTCATTTTAAAACGTTTGGGATGTCATCGTCAATACAGGAGCATAAGCATAAACAGAACTTACATTTATTTACACTAGTGATCTACATCTCTTTAATCTCTCAGTGTAATGTGACTTCATATCAACACATGTGATATAAATAAACTGAGTGGGTCAGGTTAGGAAACCTGGTGAGTACATAGGGTTTTCA